CGATTCGCGCAACGGTATTTCTAATGATTTTTATTTAGTTCACTTCAAGTCTAGTGAACTAAACAACCTTAAGGCCTTAGAAAAAGCTAGCCTTATGCTCCATGTCCGAGTGAAGTGGGAACACTTCAGGAAGACTGGAGGAAATTTCCAAAACCTCACCCAGTGCCGTAAGTGCCAGGGATGGGGTCACGGAACTAAAAATTGCTACATGCCAGCTAAATGCATGAATTGTGGTGATTCCTCTCACGCAAAGGACGACTGTCCTGTGAAGGAAGATCCTAAGAAATTTAAATGTTCAAATTGTGGTGAAAACCACAAATCCAATTTTTGGGAATGTAAGACTCGCAAAGCGATCCTACAATCTCGTTCTAACCGACAGGTAGGAAACGCTCCACGCTTCCGAACAGGTACAAATTCCTCTGCTGTTAACAACGGTCAGCGAGGAACAAATTCTACATTCGTACCCGTAGGTACAAATATCTCCCCTGCTTCAAATGTTTCATCTGTACCTACTCCCCTCGCTGCTAACAATGTTCAGCGAGTTAATGGAGCTACCTATGCTGCTATTGCAGCGGGTAGAAATCAAAATACTAACCAACGTTCTAACGGAAATTTTGACAATTTTGACTTAGGAAGCATTACTGCCCCCAAAATGGAATTTTTACAGAATTCATTAATTGACATGATTTCTGATATGCTTAAATCTAACTCCATGTTTGATGCTATTCAAACTGGAGTAAAATTTGCAAATAATATTGTCATGACTTTAAAATTCAGTACTGGATTTTAAAGCATTAAATATTGTAAATTGGAATGCTCGATCTCTTAAAGATAATGAAGACGAGCTATTTAATTTTTTAAGAGTTCATAACGTGCATATTGCCGTTATAACTGAAACGTTCCTTAAACCTGCCCATAAGGTTAAGAAGGACGCAAATTACTTGATTTATAGAAATGATCGTCTTGATGGACCCTGTGGTGGCGTTGCCATCATTATTCATAGACGAATCAAACATAAAATTCTTTCTTCATTTGAAACCAAAGTTTTTGAAACTTTGGGAGTTTCTGTTGAAACAAAATTTGGACAACTTACGTTTATAGCTGCCTATTTGCCATTCCAATGCGTAGGCCAGCAAAAGAATTTTCTCAAGGGTGACCTCCAGAAACTTACCCGTCATAGGTCTAAATTCTTCATTATTGGTGATTTTAATGCTAAACACCGCTCATGGAATAATGCTCAAAGCAATTCCAATGGTAATATTCTGTTTGATGATTGTTCTGCAGGTTATTACACTATTCAATATCCAAACAGCCCAACATGCTTTTCTTCTGCAAGAAATCCCTCCACTATTGATTTGGTCTTAACTGATTCATGTCAACTTTGTAGCCAATTGGTTACCCATGCTGACTTCGGTTCTGATCACCTTCCAGTAACTTTTGAAATATCCCAAGAAATAATTTGTAATCCCAACAGCTCTACTTTCAATTACCATAGAGCTGATTGGGAGCAGTATCGAACATTTATGGAATATAACTTCGATCCAAACATTCCTTTGCAAACCAAAGATGAAATTAATTATGCTCTTGAATCTCTGACTACTTCTATAGTTGAAGCAAGAGCTGCCTCAGTACCAAAATGCGAGGTTAAATTCGATTCAATTATAATAGACGATGATCTTCAGCTCTTGATCCGTCTTAAAAATGTCCGTAGGAGACAATATCAAAGAACACGCGATCCTGCCATGAAAGTTATCTGGCGGGATTTGCAAAAACAAATTAAAAAGCGATTCTCTGCCCTGAGGAACAAAACTTTTGAAAATAATATTTCTAAATTAGACCCGAGTTCCAAACCCTTTTGGAAACTCACAAAAATTTTGAAAAAACCTCAAAAGCCTATTCCAGCGCTTAAAGAAGGTGGTAAAATTTTGATCACAAATTTGGAAAAAGCTCAGAAACTTGCTAAGCAATTCGAGAGTTCCCATAATTTCAGTTTGGGTCTTACTAGTTCTATTGAGAATCAGGTTGCTCGGGATTTTCTGAATATTTTCTCTCGGGAAAATATTTTTGATGATTCCTGGGGGACTGATTTGGACGAAGTAAGGTCTATAACTAAAAATTTTCAAAATATGAAAGCTCCAGGTGATGATGGAATTTTCTATATCCTCATCAAAAAACTCCCAGAGAGTTCCTTGTCTTTCTTGGTAAAATTATTTAACAGATGTTTCCATTTGGCATACTTTCCTGATAAATGGAAAAATGCAAAAGTTGTTCCAATTTTGAAGCCGGATAAAAATCCAGCTGAAACTTCTAGCTACCGCCCAATAAGTTTGCTTTCTTCAATAAGTAAACTTTTTGAAAAGATAATTTTGAATAGAATGATGCTTCACATCAATACGAACTCAATTTTTGCAGATGAGCAGTTTGGATTTCGCCATGGGCATTCAACTACTCATCAACTCTTAAGAGTTAACAATTTAATTCGTTCAAACAAATCTGAAGGCCACTCAACTGGAGTTGCTCTTCTAGACATAGAAAAAGCATTCGACAGTGTTTGGCATGAAGGTTTGATTGCTAAATTGAAAAAGTTTAATTTTCCACTTTATATTATGAAATTAGTTCAAAATTATTTAACTGACAGAACTCTTCAAGTAAATTATCAAAATTCCAAATCTAATCGACTACCTGTTAGGGCAGGAGTTCCTCAGGGTAGCATTCTTGGGCCTATATTGTATAACATTTTCACTTCGGACCTCCCTGATTTGCCTCAGGGTTGCCACAAATCTTTGTTCGCTGATGACACAGGCATTTCCGCTAAAGGAAGAAGTCTTCGTGTTATTTGCAGCAGACTGCAGAAAAGTTTAGATATTTTCTCTTCTTATTTACAAAAATGGAAGATTTCTCCCAACGCTTCCAAAACTCAACTTATAATATTTCCACATAAGCCTAGAGCTTCGTTTTTGAAACCTAGTAGTAGTCACATAGTCACTATGAACGGAGTTCCAATTTCCTGGTCAAACCAAGTGAAATATCTTGGATTAATACTTGACCAAAAATTAACTTTTAAAGATCACATTGAGGGCATTCAAGCCAAATGTAACAAATATATAAAATGTTTGTATCCTCTTATAAACAGGAAATCCAAACTTTGCCTGACGAATAAACTTCTAATATTTAAACAAGTTTTTAGACCGGCCATGCTTTACGCTGTGCCAATATGGTCTAGTTGCTGCACTACCAGGAAAAAAGCACTTCAAAGGATTCAGAACAAAATTTTGAAAATGATTTTGAAGTTGCCTCCCTGGTACAGTACAACCGAAGTACATAGAATTTCGAATGTTGAGACTTTAGCACAAATGTCCAACAAAATAATTAATAATTTCCGGCAAAAATCGTTGCAATCCTCAATTGCAACGATTAATTCCCTTTATACTTAGATAAGATTTAGTTTTAGTTTTTAGTTTTAAGATATCAATTGTTATACTGACATGCAGGCTAAAAAACCTGTTTAAAATACTGAATTGCCAAGACAGGAACAATGTAAAAACACTTAGATATATATCATAACAATTAAGGCTGGTACGTTACTGCAGTAACTGGAGCACCTAGGTTAAAATGAAATGTAATTTATTTTGAATTTAGAACAAATAAAGAGTTAAAAAAAAAAAAAAAAAAAAAAAAACGATATCGGGTAGACAGGCAAAGTTCCTGTTCTTGAAATCTCTCTCTCTCACAGTAATTGTATTGCAGAAAAATCAGTCAGGGATGAACTCAATTCTTAAACCATAAACATATCTGGTCAAGGTTGCTTCAGGAAGTGAGTTAAAGATAGTAATACTGTAAGGGGGATTACTACGGAAGACCGAATCACAAAAGGCCGAATTGCAAAAGGCCGAAAAAAATCGCACACTCGATCGCTCTGTTGAATTTTTTCGGCCTTCAATGATTTTTTTTATGGAAAAGAGCACTAATAGGGTGTGTTACATTTGATGTTATAAACTAATATTATTTGGCAGAAAAAGTTAAAAAATAAACATTTTTTGAAGAAGTTTGTTGGACTTTCATAGTTGTTTTATACTTACATAAATATACATGCTTAGATCTAAGCCGTAATCCTGAGTTTTTTTTTTAATTATTGGTTAGTCTATAATGCATCTCAACCCTATATTGAACACAATTTCAGATGTTTAAGATTAAAATTCCTTAAACTCAAATTTGTTTTGAAATTCAAGATCTATGGATAGCAGTTCTTCTGACTTTTTACAGTACACCATAGTAAGTGTTTAAAGAGTTTAAAAAATCAAATTCGGAAAAAAATATGAACTTCGCTAAAAAACTAGAATAAACATCGATTGTTTTTTTAACTCTTCTGAGTATAATATATTGTGTTATAAACGTAGTAAAACTTATGTCCATTTAATTTCGTTTCGGCTAATCATGAGCAATATGTACCTCTGGCCGACATTCAAAGTTGGCCAAATGAAGAATTGTAAACCATAAATCGTTCAACTGGAATTCCGCTAAAAGAAACAAGTTTTAATGGGCAATGTTTTACAATATTAAAATGTCCCGAAAAACTTACCATTGATGCACTTCAAATTTGTATAACAACTAGTTTTATATAAGAAAGGCATATTTTTTAGCGAATGTCCTAAATTGTAATATTTTTCATTAACCATCTGGCTATGTTTTTTTTTTTTTTTTTGGTTGCCATTTTGTGGCAGATTTAAAAATTTTCGGACTTTTGTATTTCAGTCTTATTTAATTTTTGGCATTTTTTCGTTCCTATCCCCTCTAGGGTGGTACCAGAAGGCACACAGCCAAGGCAAGTAGGAGGTTTTCGTAGATAACACAGCTGAAGGAATCTTCAACTTCCGAAGTATGAGATTCAATTTGGATTTCTTTTTGCTCTATATGAAAGATTCAAGATAAAATAAATGCAGAAAATAAAGGGATAATATTACTCCATTCAGTCATGTTTTGTACATTAAAAACTAAAACAAATATTATTCTAAGAGTGAAATTTTGTTAATCAAGACAATCAATCATCTAATTCTAATAACGTAGTCATCAGTCGTAAATCAAGTAGGAAGATATACACGAATCCTAAATGTACCATAAAGAAAGTCTCTAACTATCGGCCAATATCCATAATATGACAGCGACTAAAGATGTTTTCTGAAATGTAAAACCAAAGAAGATTTACGTGAGAACCCCTTTTGAATGCAACATGCAATTATATAACAATCATATGAAACAAAACAGCACAGTTGCCAGCATTAGTCATTGCCTTCGGCAAGAAACGATAAACAACCAAAGATGTTTCCGTACATAGAAAGAAATAAACTAAACCAAACGAGTTTTAATACATGTGCATATGCAAATGTAGGCGACTCTTGAGGTAGTTTAAGTTTCCCATCAGCTATCTACATCTCTTTTATGTCCATTGCCATAAACCATAAATCAAGTGGACCCGTTTGAAACATATGTTACGATAATGAAGTATTTAAAATTGTAATAAATGAACAGATTACTGACAGATATGCCTTTTAATTTCGCAGGCTACTTCTCATTCCTCAATGAGAAAGGTACTCAAACGGCTACCGTTTATACCACCATCGTCCAACTAGTTCGAGAACGGGTGTACAAGTTCCTTTCTCTGGAAAACCTCTCTGCCTACACAGAATCGCATGGTAAAGCTCGCCACTTGAAAAGTAGTAAACCACCTTGCCAATAACCATCATCTCTTCTAACAGACAACTTCAACCATAAAACCCACTACGTTAAGGCGACCGCCAAAGCTGGTCAGGTGTACCGTTTGCTAGCCGTATTCCAAGACGGAGACCACAAGTCAGCCTCTAGTCAGAAGGATTCCGCTTCCGTTAGTGGGAGCGTAGGCGGTGCGGAGAAGGAACGTGGCAAATATGCCCAACTGCTAGGGGATAATAGACAGGTTGGTTTCGCCTGAACTTCCACCATCAGTCTCATCAACCAATTGATCGCATATTTTTTATTTTTTGTATTTGCAGATTTACTACGTCTCATTGTCAGCCAAAGGTAAATTCTACGAGATTGAACAACATACGGCACCGGTTCTGCAGAAGAGCAGCAGTCTTGGGCATCCCAACAGCAGCAACAAGACACCGAAACAACTGAATCGAGAATGTGTCCACCGAATCGGATTCATAATGCAGTCGGAAGTCAGTCTGCCATTGAATCTGAAATTGATAGCCAGTATGAGTACCGGCGGAAATAGCACCCAGAATAATGTGCCCGGTAAGTTCGATCGATACAACCGAGCAATTAAAAAAAAACTAATCACTTTTTTTCCAAATTCCAGAGTACATCACCATCGCCAAGATCAGCAATGAGAACTTCATTGTGGCCTGTCCCCTGGATGAGCAAGACCTAACATCGTCACTCACCCTGACCAAACTGCACATAACACCTCAGATGAAGTTGACCAAGTGTTCACTGGGATTCGACAACGAGCAACGGATGTTCCTCAACGGAAACGTCCAAACGGTTCTTAAATTCTGCCAATTCAACTGTGACAACTTCACCCGGGTAGTCGACAACGACACTAACTGGGTCGAACTGCAGCAAATGATCAACGCTATCCAACAGCAGCAGTCGTCCAATAGCTTGAACCATCTAACCGCACCTGCCGGCAATAGCAACAACAGTAGCGGTTCTGGACCAAAGAGCGAGGTCCTCAAAAGGCTCAAACTAACCCGACTGTTTGGCAGTACCGATCGGAATCAAAATTCCTCTTCCGGTCACGAGAAAGAGGACTCGATCATATTTTTCAGTAAAAATGATCTGGAGAACCTCGAATGTGGTCAGCAACAGCAACAACAGCAGCAGCAGCAACACCAACAGCTGCAACATTTGCAACAGCACGAACAAGACCAACAGCCGATGTCCTTGGCGTCGGGGATGAGTGACAAAATGAAGGTTTTTACACCAAGTAAGAAAAAATGGTTCAAAGGCCTACGATCGAATGGAAGTCACGTGCAGGAGACCGTCGTTGACGAACCGGAGAAGAAGCAATCCAGTATAGATCGCTACCAGGACATGTCGCGATTGATACAGGAAAGGTTCGGTGAAATCGACATCAACGGAAGCACTGCAAGCAAAGCGAACTCAGATATTGGATACGATGATGTGATAAGGGGGAATCCAGGTGACACAGCCAATGAAAGTGGTCTGCAAAAATGTCTCTCACTGCAGCATATTGATTTGAAGGGAGGAAGTAGTATGGATATTAGAAATAAGGAAAGACCAGATCTGGTCAACAACCTCAATATGATCGAGAAGGATCACTCCGAAGAAGTGCTTTCGGATTCTGAAGATACCTTGTTCTTCCCGATCAGAAGTAGCTCCCAACAGCAATCGTTCATGACGGAAAAGCTCTACAGTGAGTTCCACGTTAAGACCAAACAACACAGCAAATCTCAGTCCAGTATACAACATTTGCTCTACCTGGCTAGTCCTCAGCGATTGAATGATAGTAAAAATAAATCCAAGCTAAACGACAAAAAGCGATCCGAAATCATACTGTCCTTCGAAGATCTACAGAGTCTCAATAAAGAAGAAGAGCTAGCCGAAAGCTCATACCGAACCCAGTGGAGCATCCTAGACGACCTCCCGTATAGTAACGTTCGGGATTCGATTGTTATACAAGAGCCCGAGCCTCGAACGCCATCGGAAGGTATCTACGCCGAGATATGCTCCGACAGTCCAGTGGCGTCCCCACAAATTTCGCCACAGAAACAGCCAGTCTTTCCAGCTCCAGCTCCACCAAGACCGGAGAAGCGATTCACCAGCATTCGCATCAACGTTCCCTCCAGCGATACGTGCCACATGGTTAGCCACAACCCAGCTGGCAGTCGCTGCGCTTCCGGTGTTGCTAGTCCCGTAGAAGACAACATCTACAATACCATTAAATAGCGAGCAGAGCAATACGTAATGAAATTTTCACCATATGTATATTAATCACAAACTATAATGTCTTGATAGAATCGCTCAAAATACGTGCCTTCAAACCTTCCTCTGAGCTCCAGTTCTACTAAATACAGAAATCAAAATCAATAATCATGCTTATAAAGCTCACGAAATTGCATACCCACTTAAAAGATAGAATCTTTCATTTTTTTTTTTACTAGATTTTAGCAACATGAGACAGGGAAAGCAGAGAGGAAGAAAACAACGGCGACCAAAGTATTACCGGAACATGTGATAAAAAAAACGCATAAAAGCAATGACTAAACTAATTTAGATTAAAACGTGAATTGAGCTGTAACGAAAAATATACCGTTTATTACCGATATGGTTAGCAAGACTATAAATTTTAAACTAAACTCAGAATCCCCTTTATTGTTGTTATCGACCAGATGCAGCCCTTTCTTTTAGTTTACAAAGTCAATCCAAGTCGCTCATTTAGGCAATTGAATTCGAAGAAATATTCCCTATACATATATATGATAATTTAAGTTACATCCCCGAACAATGTGGATTACTACCATCGTTGGACGTGCATCATATGAATAGTATTTAAATTAAATAAATAAAAAAAAAAACGATGAAAAAAATAAACTCACAGTGTTTCTTTTATACCCTCGATGATCTTCGCTATCTGTTCGCAATCCGATCGGTCGTTCACGTCCGCCAGAATATGCTTCAGCATATATAGGAGCCTGTTGTACTCGTTTATCAGAAGATTGCGTTCCTCCTCGTTGTACTTTGAAAATTCCCAGTCTGAAAATCAAACAACAGAGAAATATGGCGTTAAACACACAATGCATTCCACCCAGTGGCGTTCCCTTAACCTCAATGTACCTGTGCACCAACTCTCAAAACATAAATAATTATCAAAATATTGCTTGCAATCGATAGATATCGAGTAAACTAGAAGCTTAAGTGTATTTTTCAACCGATACGAGTATGAATATGGCATTAAATCTGGTTTTTAAAGTTGGTACACAGGTAAAAAGTGAGATTACGGGACACCACTGATCACCTAATACATTTGTACGTCATTTCCCGGAAAACCATTTCTCGGAATGCAACCATTTCCCGACAAACAGCTTCCGGGAATGTACCATTTCCTACGAACTCCGATTCCAAGAATAATTATGAATTTATGATTTATGAATTTATGATCAGAGCAATTATTATTACATTAATTATTATTGTTATTGTTATTGCTCAGCACACACCCTGGTTGACCATTGTAAACCCATGTGGGATGCAACTGATGAAATGGATACCACCCTGGAATTTGCAGCCGTTGACAGAGCTGTGCGCGAAGAGAGAGAAAAAACGGTGACAAGGAGGGGAAAGAAAAGGAAGGATTGTTCTTGTAACACCGAGTCTGCAATTGCGTGTAATTTGCCAAGAATAAAGGGACTTATTACGGATGTCACTTCAAGGTGAAAACTTGTCACTTGTCGTCACGGTGAAGTGATTCCCATTTGATTTGTACGGCAATCACGGCTCTTATTATGAGTATCACTTTCTTATCACCGTGACGTGACACCCATAATAAGGCCCAAAGAGTTTGATATTATCCGTAATAAACGTCTTCGATCATTGAAATCGGTTCGAAACACCACATTGGTGACCCACGACGTCGTGAAACCTTTCGAATCCGGTCGGTATACCCGTTTCGATCACAAAGACCCGTTTGTCGTGACCGGACCGAACCGGACCGAGGTGTTTTTCGGAAAATCGTATGAAACTAACCTCAAAATGGCTAAACCGGAGCCCATCAATCAAGCTGCAGCAGTAGGTGTACAATTACCGGACTTCTGGAAGACGGACCCGGTCATGTGGTTTGCGCAAGCTGAATCGCAATTCGCACTTGCCAAGATTACCATCGACGAGACGAAATTTCAGCATATTGTGGCAAAAGTTGACCAGTCTGTCATTTGTCACATTGCCGATCTTGTTGCAACGCCGCCCACCGAAAACAAATACAATGCCGTAAAAACCCGATTGATCGCTCGATTCGCCCTTTCACCGGAAAACAGGTTGTAACGCCTGCTCGGAACGCACGATCTGGGGGATCTACGTCCTAAGCATCTGCTGTCAAAAATGCAGGAACTTTCGGTTGGTTGGGAGTTGACGACAATTTGTTGAAGATGTTGTTTATCCAGCGTTTGCCTGCGAACATTCGTCCTATCATCACTTGTCACGACGAAACACTGACCAAGCTTGCGGAAATGGCAGACAAAATGGTAGATACAGCATGCGTCCAGGCCTCAGCGGTCGTTGTAAGCGGAAAGGAGTCAGAAAACACGGCGGAAAGGAGTCAGAAAACACGGCGGAAAGCTCTCCGGTCGGACATCGATTTTCTCATCGCAGAAATCCGAAATTTGAAAACAGCAGACCGTTCACGTAGCCGATCCCCTTCAGAACCCGATTTGCTACCGGAAGACGATCACAAGGTGAGCTTTGCTGGTATCACCGAAACTATGGTCACAACGCACGTCAGTGCCGGCAGCCTTGTTTCTTTGATAAAAAAAAAAAACTAGAAGCTTCCCCACCTATCTCTGCGGAGGTGGGGGCAGTGTCTGATGGAAGGCGCCGTTTAACCATTCATGATCGCACAACCAACTACCATTTCTTAATCGATACCAGATCAGACGTGTCGATATTACCGGCTAATAAGCGAGAAAAAGCGAAGGGTTTACTCGGTTTACTGTACAATCACTTCACGCGGCAAACGGGACCAGGATTCAAACATACGGGACAAAATTTCTAAGCCCGGACCTCGGACTCAGGCGGAGCATCCTTTGGAATTTTTTGATTGCTGACATTACAATGTCGATAATAGGATGTTATTGCACACTTTGGCATTCTAGTGGACCTGAAACATCAACGCCTAACGGACGGGAAGACAGGCTTGAGTTACCCTGGAAATGTGATGACAACTCAGTTCTACAATGTGACGACAGTAAACGCAGATCATCCGTATAGGGAACTACTACTGGAGTATCGAGAAATAACGCTGCCTGCTATGATGCGGTCACAGACGCAGAAAGACGTTACTCATCATATCCTTACTAAAGGCCTAAACACAATGTGGGCGGAAGCGGAATGGAAACGGAAAGTTTGACAGTTGTCACAAATGACATCAAGATGCCTAACCGAAGTCAATTTGGTTCTAACTAGTTTTCAATGCGACAAGTTGGCTTACTCAGATCGGGCTTTTCCGCTGCCGCTGCCGTTCCGCTTCCGCTGTCATTACGCTTGGGCCTTTAAGGGCCTCCAACAGCATCGAAAGTTCGTCGGATGCATCCTGAAAAAGTAAAAGCTGCGAAGGAATAATTCAAAGTCATGTGCGATTTAGGAATTTGTCGGCCGTCTAGTAGTTGCTGGGCCAGTCCCTTACATTGTGTGCCCAAAAAGAACGGTCAATGGCGTTTCGTAGGAGATTATCATCTTTTGAATCATGCCACGACTCCGGATAGGTATCCAGTACCTCACATCCATGATTTTCTACTATCGACTTAGAGAGAGCTTACCATCAAATCCCTGTAGAAGAGAACGACATTCCAAAAACGGCGGTCTTTACCCCGTTTGGTTTGTTTGAGTTCACACAGATTCAATTTGGCTTGTGTAATGCTAGCCAAACGTTCCAGCGTTACATGAATCGGATTTTAGCTGACTTGGACTTTGTAGTTGTCTTTATTGACGATATATGTATTGCTTCTTCCTCCGCTTCAGAGCATCTCGAACACCTACGAATCGTATTTGAAAGATTGCGTCATCATGGTCTGGTCATAAGCGTGGCCAAAAGCGTTTTTGGACGCACTGAGTTGGAGTTCCTGCGATACCTCATCAGCGAAAGTGGTGTGCGTCATCTTCCGGCACGGGTACGAGCTGTTATGGACTACGAATTGCCTACGAGCGTTAAGGAACTGCGCCGCTTCTTGGCGCTTGTGAACGGGTATAAGCGGTTCATTCGTCATGCCACGGATATACAAGCTGAGCTACGGAAACTTATTCCAGACAACAGGAAAAATGACTTTCGGAAGCTACATTTGACGGAGGCTACACGCAAAAGTTTCGAACAGTGCAAACGTTCTCTGGCAGCATCTACGTTTCTCCATTATCCTGATTCCACAAAATCACTTGGGCTAATGATCGAGGCTTCGAATACTGCTGCGGGGGCGGTACTACAACAGTTAAACGGCACTGTTTAGGAGCCACTCGGTTTTTATTCTGAAAATTTTTCAAAATCACATTGTTCCTATTCCACGTTTGGGCGTGAGTTAACCGCTATGAAAATGGCTGTGAAGTACTTTCGACATTTGCTAGAAGGGCGTAACTTCACTGTTTTTTACGGATCATCGTTCATTAACTTTCGCGTTGACAACTGAATCCACTTCCCGATTACCGCATGAAGAGCGATACCTTAGATCTATATCGCAATTCACAACCGACATTCAGCATGTCGACGGAAAAGATAATTTTGTTGCTGATGCACTGTCGCGTGTAGATAGCATTCTATCACCGACTTCAATTGATTACGGAACAATTAGTCGTGATCAGAAAGATGACGTGGAGCTTGAAGCTCTAATAAAATCCAACAGTACATCCCTAAAATTTGAAGTCAAGTCACTGCCACAGTACGGTCTAAAAATATATTGTGACATTTCAAACCGGCCATCCTCGTCTGTATATTCCCAAACAACATCGAATAAATGTCATGACGCACTTTCAGGGACTAGCACATCCCGGTTCTCGGGCTACAACAAAACTCATAGCAGAGCGTTTCGTGTGGCCCTCCATGAATGCTGATGTCAACAGATTTGTCAAGAACTGTTTAAACTGTCAACCTTCGAAGGTGCATCGTCATATTACGTCTCTTCTGGGTGAATTTGATCTTCCAAAGGCTCGATTTAGGCACGTTCATATCGAGCTTGTTGGACCTCTGCCACCATCACAAGGACATCGCTATTTTCTCACGATGATCGATCGTTTTTCACGCTGGCCAGAAGCAGACCCGCTAACCGACATGACAGCACCAACGGTAGCACAAGCATTGTACTCAACGTGGATTTCAAGGTTTGGTGTTCCTGGAAATATAAAAACAGACCAAGGACGTCAATTTGAGTCGGAATTATTCAACGAACTTTTTTTTTTTTTTTTCTTTATTATAGAGATTTTTAGCCATAGGCTAGTTCATCTCTTAATATTCAACGAACTGACCCACATGTTAGGGGTTCATCATATTCGGACTACTGCATACCATCAACAAGCGAATGGAATTGTGGAAAGATTCCATAGGACGTTGAAAGCTTCTATTATGTACGTCAACTCGAAGGATTGGTACATCGAGCTTCCTATGGTCTTGCTTGGACTGTGTGTTTCATACAGAAAAGATTTGAAATGCTCAGCTGCAGATCTAGTGTACGGTCAAGGCTTACGTATTCCTGGTGAATTTTTTGATTCGCCGGCATCAACTGTTGCTCGAACAGATTTTTGTTAATTGTTACATCGCTCCTTTGAGAACGTAAAAACACCCAAGCCCAATCGTCATGGTCATCGAAAAATATTCGTCAACGCAGAGTTGAGTTCTTGTACGCACGTTTTCATTAGAAAGGACTCCATGCAACGATCGCTCCAGCATCCATATGAGGGACCATATGAGGTAGTACAGCGAACTGATAAATACATGGATGTCATAATATCTGGGAAGACTCAACACATTTCGATCGAACGAATTAAACCTGCTTTTATATGCAACC